AAAAATGTGCAAATTTATATTATAATTACATACAGCATGGCTTTGCCTTGCTAATCCACTTAATCCCTCATATGATATGCTTAGCCACAGCTTGTCCTACCAAAGCTCTGTTTGAATTTTAACCTCATATGATATAAGGGAACATTCGGTATCTATATCAGATCTTTCAGTGAAATACTGTATCTTTGCACACAAGCAGGTTTATGGTTTATCTTCATGTAACTGGAGTATTCCCACTGATACCAATGCTTCTTCTCAAGAGAAAAGACACAGCTAAGATAAATGCAGAACAACTGATAAAAACAGTTCATTATATAATAACATACTGTATAGTATTTGATGCATGAGTGGAGCCAAAATTAAGAGAGTAGGTCAAATGAACCCTGATGACTGTGTCAGGCTGATATGACATCAAGACACTGACGTGATAGACTGGAGTTTCTGGAGACACGATTAATAACCCTTAGATAAAAGTGCCTCCATCTTTTTCAGGCCACAGACCTATTTCCCAGGACTGTGTACACCTTCATTTGTTCCAGTTCATGTTCTTGTTTTTACCCCAAACCAAGACTGAAAATATACAGACAACAGGCTTACACCCCTCAAACAATTGTCACCTGATACTAACAGGGGGTGTGATGGTGCATGATTGCCAGCACCCTCCAGTCACCCCCAGAAACTCCAACACTGACTTTACACAGTCAGCGTAAAACACACACAGAGTATTAGCAGACAGGTGAGCAGGGCGTTCTGTTGTGGGCGAGCCAAGGAAGCAAGGACAGTGCATGTTCAGAATGACAAAGGTTGCTTTTACACCTGTCATGGCCCATTTAATCATCTACCACTTCAAACAGGAGAGCCTGACGCTCACGGCCTCCCAGCAGCCTTTGCTCCAGCAGCTCTGTAAAGCTGCAGTTCTGTAAGCTGACATGGAGAAACAGATCTGTGCGGTTATAAGACTTAACCGTATCATCCATAAAATGGGAGCAAATAGGTTAGTGTTTCAAAGGCTCCAGCAGCAGGACGTGGAGGTAGTACACACAGGAAAAAGTTTTACTAGCGTCTTATCTTATTTGCAGTAACATTAGGAGATATTCAGAGCATTCCCTCATAAACAGTTCGGAATTGAACTGATCCATCCAGCATGGATTTACACATAAAACCAGAACTGTCAGGAGTTCAGTGTGAAAACAGTTTGGTTTCATATGTACCAAGCCACAATTATTGTTTGGTATACATAGAATGCCATTGTAATATAAAATAATGAATACTAATATACTGAAATATTTATTTTTAAGAATCAATCAGCCCCAGCCTGTCCAGTCAAATAAACAAATAAATGGAAAGTTTCATTTGATACTAAGTGTCTTTTATTTTTAAAATTATCATTACCTTAAACTGATCATTAATATCTGAGTTTACTGATGCTGATGACTTTAAACCACAGACCATAATAATGGATTTTTGTTGCCCTATCAAGTGTCTCACAACAGATTTGTTTTAGCGTCATTACGCAACAGGTTCAGGCTCCATGCGACAAACAGAAAGCACTGACTACTTTGATAAAATACCACCTTTTTTAAAATCAGCGACAACAACAGCAAAAAACAACATAAGGCAAGTTGTCAGAATATGAGCAAGGTGTTTGAATTTCCAATATTCAATAATCAAATCCCCATATTTTATCACCGTACCTGTCTCTATGCTGTTCTGTTAATTTAGCTGAATTATTACGTTTTACCAGTAGCATCTGACGTCAACATGAGCGAAAATAACCTTTTTAGCAGCTGTTTAAGTTTTATCTTCAGAAATGTCATAGCATAGGCCAGACCTCTCTCCGTAGAAATATGCCCCAAACACTAATTTGAACTATTAATCATCCGTCGCAATTAAAAGCCTGTCGCCCTGCTTTGCTTAGACTTTTACGCACGTCTTAACCCTTGTAAAATAAAAATCTAGGCTTAAAAAAATCCGACCGAAACAGCTGAGCGGTGCTCAAAATGACAAATGACCTTTCTTTCCTGCATGTTTTACATGTAGCTGCAGTCGTTTCTAATTAATCACAGTCGAGACATTTGAAACATTCTCTTGTATGGGCGTGTTGTGTGTCAACAGGGCCGTTTATTGCCCTGTGTAACTGGGAGAAGAAATCAAAACGAGATCTCACTGGTTTCATCGATGACTCACGGAAAATGAACACGCAAGCAGGCAGGTTTTGGTTGCACACAGCAATCACCACGGTACACTCACCGACATTTACATGGAATCGGTAATAATGTGATATTTCCCTTGTTTTGGTGAAAAGGTTTTAGCACTGCGCTGTTCCTGCTGGTCCTTAATATCCCCATAATATCATACCTACTGCGGCGGTATGTG